TAGAAACATAGTGGGAGACATTTAGTGACAGACCATAGAAACATGTGTGAAACATTTAGTGACAGACTATAGAAACATCTGTGAAACTGCGATACAAGACATTAAGATGTGTGAGTGTTTAAAATCAGTAACAGACTCTGAGTTTACACATGTAAGGTTGGAACTCAAACTGTAGGTGCGTGTGACAATCAAATAAAACATACAAAAAGACTCATCAATTTGCACGATGCAGTTCTAGTTAACTAAGAATATTCGTTTCAAGACCGATTATGTATATCTTGAGATCGTCATTACAACTGCGATATCTGAGTATCGTTATGAATTAGTTTATGGTTATTAATGTAATATTGCTTTTCATTCAGCTGTTATAGCATTATCGTGAAAAAGTAATTTTTGTTGTGTTTCTAATGCATAAAAAAATTAGAATAGTAAATGACGTGAATAGTGTTTTACAGAGCCATCTGCAGATGGCGCCAGTATAGTTAAGCACAATGTAGATTACTGTGCCGATTACAATATTTAACAGTTAAACCACAGAGTTTTGATCATAAAAAGGGATACATGTACAGAAAGAACAAAAATTTGCATAATATCACCGACTGAATAATCAGTTTTTAGTTCTGTGAGAATTTTAATAAATCTTTTAGTTTCAATTAGCACTTGGACTTGCTTTATTTTCTAAAATGAGAAACTCACTTTGACGTAGTTCTTTAAACAGAAGTTTCTTCTTTCGCTTCTTCATTCCTTTATCTTTAAGAAGTTTGGTTGTTTTAGGTTCATCTGACAATTGTAGGTTTGGAACATTTCTGGAGATAGTTTCAACTGATTTTTCTATGATATTTTGGCTATTATCATTAGACAAATCAATGACTTTAACCGCCCCCTGGTTGTCGTCATTGGTTTCTTGGTTCACAGTTTCCTGTTTAACAGATTGAGTGTTCATTACGTCTATAGTGAGGTTATAAAGGTTGACCTTCACGAACTTGAAGGTCGCTAGAGGTGGTAATTTCCGCAGAGCTGGGTAATAAAAAGAATTTGCTGGATGGCTGGGATGGTGAGCCGTGATTTGAGATATTTTTAGTCTCGGTTTGAGCTCCCAATTTGGAGATGTGAACGTAAATCCGGCGTCCGTTCCAGCATCAACCGGGCCTACTCCAATTCGTGCTTGTTCCACCCATTCTCCTTTAGGACATAATTCCAGGCTGTCAACTCCGACAAACCAATCAGGGCTTGGAATTATCTTTGATATCAGCGACACCTATAAGTAAGTAGACGCATTCACACATTTTATATAGGTACAGATTGACGATAAGACACATAAGTAGATCAAAAAGAACAATGTAAAGTGTTTACGTTTTGGACATTTCTCAGATTATATCATTTATTTCTTAGCTTTCGGTTTATAAAGTTCAAAAAGGACACTTTATCAATTTTATTTTTCTCTATCACAACTAAATAAATACCCATTCCTTCATTTTAAAAATTTAATATTTGAAAGATTCATTGAGAACACCAAATCTGGTTCCATTATTTAATGAACAGGATAAACAAAGTTTAAGTTGCCAAATTATATCAATCATTTCTACATTTGAAGATGTTTATGATTTGTTAATAATGCTTACATTATACCCAAAATTGGAAAACTTTTAACTGTAGTAAATAACAATCAGCGGTTCGTAATGTAAAGGAAGAATCTAAGTAGACCTCGCCTACTTGTTTGTTTGTTTTGAATTTCGCGCAAAGCTACACGAGGGCTATCTGCGCTAGCCGTCCCTAATTTGGCAGTATAAGACTAGAGGGAAGGCAGCTAGTCATCACCACCCACCGCCAACTCTTGGGCTACTCTTTTACCAACGAATAGTGGGATTGACCGTCACAATTTAACGCCCCCACGGCTGAAAGGGCGAGCATATTTGGTGTGACGGGGATTCGAACCCGCGACCCTCAGATTGCGAGTCGAGCGCCCTTACCACCTGGCCATGCCGGGCCTCTCGCCTACTCAGCAAGCACGTGCAGAAATTGGTAACTTGCAATGATGTAGGAAAATATCATTATCATTTGCCACCAGAGGCGCTGTTACATTTCGTGGAAAGCTACACTAGCTCTTTTCTTTTCAAGTAGTAGACTAGAGGGGAAGGCTGCTAGTCCATATCACCCACCGCCAACTCATGGACTGCCGATATCGAATAGAAGGAAGGCAGCTAGTCCATGCCACCCACCGCCAACTCATGGGCTACTGATATCGAATAGAGGGACTTCAACATCAGTTCTTGTAAATCACCCACGTCACACAAATATGGAGCGTGATTTTTTTATTTATTTATTGGTAATGGAGAGCGAAATTTGGAATCACACATCCCCACTTCTGCACGCTGACCACTTGGATCGTCACCACAGTTGGATTGTGTTCTAAATTAACAAAATACTTTGATCATTGCAGTGGCAGTAATGAAATGAACGGCGACGTGAAATATCACGAGTGCAGAAAGTGTTATTTGTTAACACTTAACGTGAAGCTTTCGGTTTTGTGGTTTGAAGTTAACTTCCAGGACAAATTAACATATTTTTATTATCAAAACATAATTACTTGTTTATTTATAAGCCAACTCCTTCTGCACAGCGAACGTTGTACAACCTGTGTTCTTAATTGAATATATGTATATTGTGAAAAGAAAAAAAGATTCATTTGCATTTTTATTCTCAAGTGGCTATTTTATACCACTCTTGTATTCCTATCAGGTCAAAATACTTTATTAACATCTGGATGTAATGGGCACGAAATGAGACTGAGTTGGTATAGGTTAACAGTGTTTGATTCAGCTGTATGAAAGGCTTAACAAAGTAAAAATAAAATATTGTATCTTGTTTCCTCTTCAAGCAACTAATACATAACAGGTTAGTTATGGAAGCATTTGTCCGGCAACTTAACCTCTTTTTTTTATGTCATTTTTAGCATGTGTTGCTAAGTGACAATGTACTTGGGTGAGATTTTTAAGTTTTGTAAGCTTAAAAGATTCACAGAATTGTATTAGGTCACTTAAGTGTCACAGCTGTTTCAATGTTTCCCTTTCCAGCGCCAATAAACAACAGTTATGTAATTATATTTTCTTTTATCATCTTTCTAGTGAAGTCTGATAAAAAAAACATACAGATCTTCATGTTTATTACTCCAACTGCCGGAAAATATCGTTAGCGATACAAACAGTGCTAAGATTTTTTCCTGTAAAAACTAAGGAAATCTGGAAACAAGAATGGCACTTAAGTTTGGATCAGCAATTGGTTATTGCATACAAAGGCTTGAGCAACATTTGCAAATACAAGCGTAGTCAATTACCTAAATTTCCTTCTAGAATGTTCCCCCGATGGGTCAGCGTAAGTTTATGGGCTTTCAACACTACAATTTGGAGTTCGATTCCCCGCGTGGACAAAGTAGATAGCCCAGTTAAGGAATATGTCAAATGCGCTTGACAGTTTTCAACTAAAATGCACCAATAATATATTTGATAATTTCCTGCCCTAAAACCCAGCAAATATATTTGATAATTTCCTGCCGCTAAAATGTACCAAATATATTTGATAATTACCTGCCGCTAAAACCCACCAAATATATTTGATAATTTCCTGCCTCTAAAACCCACCAAATATATTTGATAATTACCTACCGCTAAAACCCACCAAATATATTTGATAATTACCTGCCGCTAAAACCCACCAAATATATTTGATAATTACCTGCCGCTAAAATGCAGCAAATATATTTGATAATTACCTACCGTTAAAACCCACCAAATATATTTGATAATTACCTGCCGTTAAAACCCACCAAATATATTTGATAATTTCCTGCCGCTAAAATGCACCAAATATATTTGATAATTTCCTGCCGCTAAAATTTACGAAATGCATTTTACACCATTTCCTTTCGGAGTGTACAAAATATGATTACCTATTTCATGATAGACTGTAACCAACACGCTTTACTCTTTCCTGTTAGGATGAACTTTTTACTTCTGTAAGCCATGACAAGCGCTCATATAATACCCTTGTATAACAAACTACACTAAATACGTTTGAGAAATACTTTCTAGATTGAGCGAAGTGCGCGGCTCAATGGTAAAACAAACGATTATCTTCAATTAGTTAATAAAGTTTATCTTATTTATCTGTATTAATTTTCAAAAGGTAGACATTGAACTGAGCTATACCTGAATTTTATACTTTATTATTCAGACGTTGCCTGAGTATCATGCGTTGTCATAATGGTGAAACTTATCTTCATCAAACAGTATTTTATCAAGTACTTCTCCATCTCATTACAGATATCAGCGTGTGAGAAATGGCTACACGAGGGCTATCTGCGCTAGCAATCCCTAATTTAGCAGTGTAAGACTAGAGGAAAGGCAGCTAGTCATCACCACCCACCGCCAACGCTTGGGCTACTCTTTTTACCAACGAATAGTGGGATTGGCCGTCACATTATAACGCCCCCACGGCTGAAAGGGCGAGCATGTTTGGTATGACGGGGATTCGAACCCGCAACCCACAGATTGCGAGTCGAGCGCCCTAACCACCTGGTCATGCCGGGCCGCAAATTTATGATTAGAAAACAGAAAAATGCGTAAATTTGAATTATATAATGTAAGCTTATAAAACGAAATCTGCTTGAAAAAAATCATTTTCATATTAACACTATATACAAATAATTATTTGTTTCTTAAACTATTCTAACGCCAGCGCTAGATGGTTAAGAGGATTTAGAAAGTGTATAACCATTATTAAAATAGGGAAAAAAAATTAACATCAGACCAGGTTTAGGCGTGATCTAGTGGTTAGCGTACCAAACTGTGAATCGGAGTGTCCATGGTTCGCGTGCTGTTGTTGCAAAATCGTTTCCTGCTCTTTGGGTCGTGTGTGTGTGTGATTCGAGTAGCCAAAGAGTCGGCAATGGTTGTTGTCCCCTCTAGTTCACCAGGTGAAATTCGGGAATTGCTGGTGCGGATAACCCGAAGAAAACAAGCAAAGAAAATATCAGACTAAACCTAGAGGTTCTTTTTTTTAAGTAACCATAATAATTTCAGTGGCTATGTTGGATGAAAAGACTGGCTAACATAAAAGGTGAGCTCACATAAAAGATTAACTCACCATCTCTACCAGAAAGATTAACTCACCATCTCTATCAGAAATATTAACTCACCATCTATATCAGAAAGAAGATTTATTTAAATCATATAGAATCGTAACTCTAGTCAGTCCAGTGGCTATGTTGGTTGGAAAGGCTAGTTTTACACGAAAGATTAACTCACCATCTTCATCAGAAAAATTAACTCACTATCTTCATCAGAAAAATTAACTCACCATCTCTATCAGAAAGATTAACCCACCATCTCTTTCTGAAAGATTAACTCACCATCTCTATCAGAAAGATTAACCCACCATCTCTTTCTGAAAGATTAACTCACCATCTCTATCAGAAAGATTAACCCACCATCTCTATCTGAAAGATTAACCCACCACCTGCATCAGAAAGATTAACTCACCATCTCTGTCAGAAAGAAGAGTTATTTAATATATATATATAATCATAACTCTCGTGGCTATGTTGGGTTGAAAGGTTAGTTTTACACGAAAGAAGAATTATTGAACAAAGAAATGATTTAATTAGCTTCAATCATTATACTATTGAATCTAGGGTACAAGTTAAAAAATCACTTTCTTCAAACTTTTTGCAGTAAAATAACGTTACATAAAAACAAAACCTTGGAGTGATTCCCATCAAGAAAGACAGTTCCTTCGGTTGTTCCAACGCCCGTAAAGACTGCTGGTGCAGAAAAGACGTCGAAAATCCCTCCCCTCCCTTGTGACAGGTGATCCACTAGATTATTGGAGTTCCCGGTTTCAGCGAATAGCTTTAGTCCTTCGGAGGCCAGATCTCCCAGCTTCCAGAGGCGGAAAGATTGGTTATGTGTACAACCTGAAAGCAGTTTGATAACTTGGTATTTAACAACCTGTTGGTTTAATCCATTGGCAGTGTTTTGATAAGAAGATACCTCAGGATATGTATATATATATATACTGAACATCAAGTTCTTACCCCCCTACAAATAAATCCCAAAATTAGGGTGCTTAAAATCTATAATTTCACAGCCATCTCGTTTTTTATTTGTTTACACTTTGTCTTTCTTAAATTTCAAGGAAAAACACAGAAAGAAAGATCAAGGAGGTAATTACGAGTCTCTTATCTCGTTACTCACCAAGGACTTTGGACCACTGGGCGCGTGGTCTCCAGCTTGGGTAGTGCTTAGGAAATTTTTCCAATGACCAGTCAGTCTCCATGGTGACCTTGTAGATTGCTAGTTCGCCTTGCGGACAAAGGGTGGAACCGGAAGAAACCGATGTTAATAGAACTACAATCATAAACAGCATGAAATGAGTAAACTCCGAAACGTTTCTGCATTAATGAAATACATGTTTTTTCGAGATATTTTAGAAAAACAATATAGAACCTAGGAACTCTCGAAAACGTACTCGAATTACTCCACGATTATTAATTACTCTGGTACCGACTCAATATTTAGCTTACACCAAGTGTTTCGAAATGACATTAATGTCTAAACAAGTTAGTAATGAAACCTCAAACTCTGATTTTAAACTTTTCCGTAAGCACTTTATACTTTCTATCATTTACCGCGTCAAAGATCACGCTGACGATCCGATTGGACGAGAGGAGAAGCAGCTGGCACTACGTGACAAGAGTCCCGTTATTTGATATTCGTAAAGGCAGGAGACGAAGCTGATAACGTACGGTTTCTTGGGCAAGTTCCGCTTGTTTTATTATTGCCTGCGAGGTTTCAAGCACTTTTTTTCAGTTACTTGATCATCCTGTGCACCAAAAGCCGAAGCGATCCAAAGATTTAATAATAAAAGACGACAAAAACACTTTCACCTATAAGTACGTTCACAAATACACAGACTTAAAATAATACTGCAAGATAGGTTTAAATAAAGGATTTCGTCATACACGAAACACCCAGAAACATAGTTCTGTCGAAATTCAGGATGCCAAAGGAAACACTTTGGTTGCTTGAATTTGTAAATGTTTAAGTAACAAATAAGTGTTTTTCATAGGTTTCTTACACTAATCATTAAATCACCGTTTCACACCTTTATCGGTAAAATTACTTAAAGTTTCACCTTTATCTTTCGTTTGTTCATTTTGTGATACCTCGAAATAGTGACGTATGAAGAAGCTTGTTCTAAAGTAATAAATATTATTGTGCTTATAATAATGTTGAGAATCAAGTTCTACAGATAATGTTACAGTAGTGTTGAGAATCAGGTTCTAAAGATAATGTTACAGTAGTGTTGAGAATCAGGTTCTACAGATAATGTTACAGTAGTGTTGAGAATCAGGTTCTACAGATAATGTTACAGTAGTATTGAGAATCAGGTTCTACAGATAATGTTACAGTAGAGTTGAGAATCAGGCTCTACGGTTAATGTTACAGTTGTGTTGAGAATCAGGTTCTACAGATAATGTTACAGTAGTGTTGAGAATCAGGTTCTACAGATAATGTTACAGCAGTGTTGAGAATCAAGTTCTACAGATAATGTTACAGTAGTGTTGTGAATCAGGTTCTACAGATAATGTTACAGCAGTGTTGAGAATCAAGTTCTACAGATAATTTTACTTTGAGGCTGAGAAGCAAGTTTTAGAGATAATGTTACAGTGGTGTTGAGTATCAGGTTCTACAGATAATGTTACAGTGATGTTGAGAATCAGGTTCTAAAGATAATGTTACAGTAGTGTTGAGAATCAAGTTCTACAGTTAATGTTACAGTGATGTTGAGAATCAGGTTCTACAGATAATGTTACAGTAGTGTTGAGAATCAGGTTCTACAGATAATGTTACAGTAGAGTTGAGAAGAAGGTTCTACAGATAATGTTACATTGAGGCTGAGAAGAAGGTTCTACAGATAATGTTACATTGAGGCTGAGAAGCAGGTTTTAGAGATAATGTTACAGTGGTGTTAAGAACCGGGATCTACAGATAATGTTACAGTGATGTTGAGAATCAAGTCCTACAGATAATGTGGATAAGTTAAGCTGAATATCTGTTGTTAGGCAAGAAGATCGTGATTAATATAACAAATCACAACCGTGAGAAGCTAGATTTATAGAACTGGAACAACAACCAGGAACCGATTGTAAAGTTAAAAATATAAAATGTTCTAAACTAATTTTTAAAGGTGATAAATGTAGTAATTTTAAGCAATTTCTGGAACAAATACAATGAATTATAGCTCTTATGCAATAAGTAAGTAATTATCGTTGTCTTCGTCAGTAGATAGTATTTCCCACGGTTTTTACTCTTGTTGAAACATCTAACAAAAAGCTTCCAAGTGACTTATAAAAACGTAATCAGTCCAATTAGTTACACAAAAGACTTTCAAAAAGGAAGTATAAATGTAAAGCACGAAATCCGGGGGCGTTTACGACACAAGAAATCATCTAACATAAATATCGCATAAAATCCAACAATGAGTTGTGGTTCAGCTGCGCGTGTTAAAGAACTTATAGTACTACAAATATACGAGAAAATTAGAATTACCCAACACGTGTATCGACCATACAACAAACTCGCTACGTTTTGCTTCTCTCTCTCTCTTTTTTTGCATCCGCTGGTTCTATTGGCCCAAATATATTTTAAGTACGTGGTCTAATACTTCTGGCGGCGCCAGTTTTATTTGGTTAAAAAACACAACAAACTAACATTATATGAACTTATTGGAATTGTAACAATATCGAAATACGACGAAAGAAAGGTATATACATTCTGTAGTCTATTTTATTTTCAACTGCATCTTGCCAGTTGACTTACCCGTTCAAAGCACGGAGATGACATGTGGAGGGAGGGAGGGGGCAGATCCGAGCGTCAAATCCCCTGGGTCGTACTTCGGGGAGGCTCTAAGATACATGTCAAGTTGTGTGAAAATCTTTCAAGCTATTCCCCAGTCATATAACACTCATACCCACAGATAACAGATGATGGGAGGTAGTGAAGGGAGGTTAACACTCATACCCACAGATAACAGATGATGGGAGGTAGTGAAGGAAGGTTAACACCCATACCCACAGATAACAGATGATGGGAGGTAGTGAAGGAAGGTTAACACTCATACCCACAGATAACAGATGATGGGATGATGATAATCTATGGCACAGGATTGTATAGAACGTGATGATTCCAAGAGCACAGATCGTATAATACTGGACGGAGGTTAGATAATCTATGGCACAGGATTGTATAGAACGTGATTTTTTATCCGCTTCTTTTTTACCGGTGAAACATTAGCAAAGTTACGCAATTTCCGTTCACTTATTAAAAGCAACGTCATAATACGTATATCGGTAGCACTGCCTCGCGTGAATTGTCAGTAGAGATTATCTCAAATCCTTCCCACGAAAGCTATTTTCTTTAACCCTAACAAATGTAACGTGTTTTTATGGTATATTTCAGTCAGATTAAATCAAAAATGTTGCTTAATAACGTGTAATACAATGTTGAGTAGTGTTAACATCCCTTCACTACCTTCCATCATCTGTTATCTGTGTGTATGGGTGTTAACCTTCCTTCACTACCTCCCATAATCTGTTATCTGTGTGTATGAGTGTTAACCTCCCTTCACTACCTCCCATCATTTGTTATCTGTGTGTGTATGAGTGTTAACCTCCCTTCATCATCTGTTATCTGTGTCTATGAGTGTTAACCTCCCTTCACTACCTCCCATCATCTGTTATCTGTGGGTATGAGTGTTAACCTCCCTTCACTACCTATCATCATCTGTTATCTGTGTGTATGAGTGTTAACCTCCCTTCACTACCTCCCATCACCTGTTATCTGTGTGTATGAGTGTTAATCTCCCTTCACTACCTCCCATCATCTGTTATCTGTGTGTATGAGTGTTAACCTCTCTTCACTACCTCCCATCATTTGTTATCTATGTGTGTATGTGTGAATAACTGAATGTTTTGATCACTTGTTATACGTGTGAGTATTTCTCTTTATTATCAGGGAAATTAGAGAAGCACAGTCAACATTTCATTGAGTTCCATTTGTTACCACTGGTATAGCTGGTATAGTTCGAAACTGTTTTCCTTAGCTCTTCATGGCGTAGTTTGTTTGATATGTGTCATATTTCGCCTATATTCTCTAAACATTTATAACTGGCCTCATTAGTGTGTAAGAACAAGTTTTATACTCATACTTTGCCATCCTATACCACCTATACTCTTTAAACATTTATAACTAGCCTCATTAGTGTGTAAGAAAAAGTTTTATACAAATACTATGCCATCCTATACCACCTATACTCTTTAAACATTTATAACTGGCCTCATTAGTGTGTAAGAACAAGTTTTATACTCATACTTTGCCATCCTAAACCACCTATACTCTTTAAACATTTATAACTGGCCTCATTAGTGTGTAAGAACAAGTTTTATACAAATACTATGCCATCGTAAGCCACCTATACTCTTTAAACATTTATAACTAGCCTCATTAGTGTGTAAGAACAATTTTTATACACATACTATGCCATCGTAAGCCACCTATATTCTCGAAAAGTTTTACTTAACATCATCAGATTCATGATTTGTATGGCTCGCTATCTGCGAGTCGCGAATTCGAATCCAATCATTGAACATGTTTGGCCTTTCAGCGGTGAAGACGTTATAACGTGACGGCCAATCTTATTTTTCGTTGGTAAAACAGTACTTCAGTAGATGGAGGTGTTAATTAGTGCCTTCTCTCTAATTTGTGATTCCAAAACTAGCCGCGACCCACAAAATATTTGCGGTAGTTTTCATGCCCTTCGTTTCAATCTTCCTTATTCTCTCATTTTCACTCACGGCATTTAAGCTACGTTTTCTTGCAGGCACTATATATTAGATAAACAAGCTCACGTAACGTAAACAATAAAGTAAAGTAATGGTAAATATAGTGTATATAGTATGAAACAATTATGAACGTTCAGTGTATGACACAGTGAAACAAAGAAACGAACAAAACCGAGGAATAAAGCCGGTAGTAAAGATAAAAGTAGCTAAAAGGTGTTTATAACAATCTATGAAATGAACTGAAGGTACATTATTCCAAAGTAAAGTAAATGTAAAATTGTGGTGAACGCAAACTTAGCTGAATATGCAGAAACGTCTAAATGCGTGCTCACAAAGTGATAAGCATATGGTTTTGAACGAAGTGCGTATGCGTATTTTAGACCTAAAGAAGTTGAGAAAGACCATAGCAAATGTATTTAGTGTAATGTTCATATTTTTTTAAGAAATTACACTCTGGTTAATTGTTGTTTGTGTGAAATACTTTGCAAATAAAAAAAACTAAAGTTGAAATCGAAGCCAGTCGTCAAATAATGATAACGACATTGTGCCATCGTGTAGCATACTCGTTGCATTAAAAAGTTTGACTTAGTAAAAGACAGTGAAGGTGATTCCGAATCGAAAAGCCAGTATGCATTGCGGAATCCTAACGATATGAGATTTGTAACGTTTGATCGAGAAATTTGCGAGAAAAGTTTTGGACAGACAAACAGTTAAACGCAAGCGTATTATTTATATAGATTATGGAGGGCTAGCACAGGTAGCCCTTGAGTAGCTTTAC